TGTGCTTTCCTCTAAGTCTTCCTATCAACATGACCAAGTTGCGAAAACAAGGTCAAACAACTTCCATATGAAGTGAAGTTGAGAGAAATAGACGAGACAACGGTTGAATATAAAAATGGTCAAGGTTGTCCATCATTTATCATTTCGATAAGGTGTAACTCTATGCTGACGATGGCAACTACGATGCCGACGAAGCGTTTGCGAATGTACCAAGTCACTGGTCCGATGCTGGAAATCCCGAATATTATGAAGAGTACACAGGACTAGGTACATTCCACAAGGTATCCCTGACGCTTCAACCAATTGGTAAAGGATACTGCGACCAAACAGAAGGCCACATTGGCTTAGTCTTCATGTCTACCATCTTAAAGAGATTACGTTAAAGCAAATATTTATATGCAGGATTGGCCAATTGCTCTAACCCCACGTCGATGTATGAAATGAAATCTTAAGATACGACAATGATGGTTTTGCACCGATTAGCTGCTCTATGCCTTCTGGCGCAGAATCCCTCCTCCATGCAAAAGTATCTTTCTGCAAGCAACTTTTCGGCAGAATTGTGCATTGAACGGCCTTCAGAAGTCCCTGCAATGGAAATATTTTGCTTAAACGTCAATGAAGCGAGTCCTTCAAGACCGGGAGGTCATCGTATGCCTCAATGTGATTTGGAATTGAGCTGATTGATTATTAGTACATAAGAGAGATGTGTAAACCCAATAAAAAAGGGACATATTGGCTCTCAACAAGACAATTGTAACAAGGAAACCCTTCATACTCATCATCAGCATCAACAGCAACATCATAATCAACACCATCCTCATCACTCGGATAGAAATTATTTGAGTGGGTACCCTTTGTGGCTGAACTATGACTCCTTTTTCTCACTTCACTGATGATCAAATGTCAAACAACAGTTGACACTAAACTGGCAGTATGCCTGAAACGACCCTGGATTCAGAAGGACAAGTTATCCGGTGGGTGCTGCCACTTGTTTGACTGTTTTCAGCCTAAAGGCGTTGCTACACAACATAAACAATGGCCTGAATGACAGGAAAATAGAACTGTCTGACCGCGATATCGTCAATCTCAAGTGAAGTTACGTTCTGCTCACCAACCCACTTGTTGAGCCCATTCGGATGTGCAACAGGTCCAGTTGCTTTGACGAACTCTCCTCGTCGTCGGACAGATTTTGACAAAATTGCGAGCAACAGAGTCGTTATTTCTATCGCCGTTCGTTCGGAGGGCAACCAGTTTGATGTAGCAGCCATGAACGTGGATCAATGGAATTCAGGCAGTCAAACTAAACTATTTTAAGAACGCAACAGTCGCATCTTTAATTCGAGGCCGTTTCAGCCATGCTTTCTTTCATTTTGTGGCAAGTGTTGTGAATCACAGTGTACCTTAGAGGTATAAATGAGATGTATCAGCCTGCAGACCTCTCGAGAGAGGTTTCTATCTGGGCCACTTACATTAAGTTAACTGAAAATATGGGCTCGAAAACCGGTTTTCAGCACTTAATTTCCGTCCTCCACATTCGCTGCCGTCGAAGACACTCCCAAGTTTCCAATTCGTCTTCGCTTTAAACTTAATCATATTTTATAGAAGTTGTTTGAACTTGTTTTCGCAACTGGGTCATGTTGGTAGGAAGACTTAGAGGAACGCACTTAGTCTGGAGTCCATTGTCTGCATGATCACTTCCAAAGTCGAACCGTGGACGTGGTACATTCCCAAACGTTTCGCCGGCATCGTCAGTGAGTATTGCCATTCTTAGCGCC